TTGATTAAAACAAAACCCCATTGCTCACTGTTGAGGAAAGAGTCTTCAGCCAGGACCAGCAAGAGTCTAGAGTCCCATGGTCACTTCAAGTGTGTGATCCTTTATCGGCTCCTGCTGGTTTAGAGTTGGCCTTGAGAAACACAGTAGCCAACTGTGATCCTTCCTCAGCAAATGCTGCTGTGAGCAGAAAATGTTCCTTTCCATTCCTTGCAATGACCTTTCAAGGGAGTGAAATTATTATCAACCTCATTCTACAGAGCTGGAGACTAAGGCACAGAGATGGTATCTAATGTGCCCAAGGTCAAGCTAATTCAAACCTGGAGGATCAGAGCCTACACTCTTAACCCCTCCTATCCGCCAGCACGCACAGATCTAAAACCAACTATTGATGTACGTTGCTTATTTAAAATAATTCAAGTTACTAAATTATACTTATAAAGTTATTTTTAATTTCAGCTAAATTAAATGAACATATATTAATTCAAAGAGTACTATGATTAGTACTTTGAACACTAGGTTTAACTTGATATCTGACTTTCATCTTCATAAATTACTTGGTAAGTGTTGGATATTTTATGAAGAAAATAGAAGAATATATTTGCCTGTTGTTTTTTTACACGTCCCATTGTCATAGCAAACAAGTCTGTCCTTCTATAATTGTACACATTATATCAAAACCAACCTGAAGGAGTGAGTCTTTACAAAGTCCCTCCTGCAGAGCCCTTCTCATTCTCAGCACTTCCACTCACCCTAGTCTTACCTTCTACGTCACTTTAAAACTTTTCTAATTGGAAATTAGAGGAACATTTTCTGATCAGAAATTAATTGCACTTGTTTGCCCATTGCCCTCTCTCTCCTTTTACCTGCAGACCAAACGAAGGCTGTCACCTTCAAAAGTAAAACGTCTCCTAGAGTTTGAGAGAACGGTGACATACGGCAAAATTTGTGGCCATTGTCTTCTCATCTTTTAGGGAGATTTAATTTTTAGAAATAGGTGATATCTGATCAATCTGATAACTAAGAAAGCTGACCGAGCTGTGTAATGCTGGTTTGAATTACAAAGGATTAGGACCCAAAGTAATGTAATACGATTTTCACATGAGTACAAACTGATACAAAGGTAATTCCAAAAGAGAACTCCCCAAATTATCTTGATCAGTGGCAGTATGATTTGAATAAAGGCACTGCTTTCCAAGATGATTTCTTTAGTGGTAATTATTTTTATGCATGTGTTTTAGTATGTTTGTTGAAAAATTCAGTATGACCACAGCATATAAGTTGTACCTCATATGGAGTTCAAACATATAGATAACTGCATGGCTTCCCTTGCTGACAACTCTAAGGGTTATAAACCTAAATATAGGTGGCAGAATAAGATTTGATTAGAGGAAAGAGTTCTATGGCTAAGAGAATGTTAAGCACAGTACTAAAGTATCTTTAAGACTTTTCGCAATACAAAGATTTTAAGATCTAACATTTCAAAAGAACATCTGGCCATCTGAATTATTTTTCAGCATTGAGTTTCCACTGAATTGGCCACATTTTTCCCCCTAATTTCTCTTGTATATGACAGCAGTCAGTTATAGCTGTTATTAAGAATTTTATTACTGAGAACCTTGTAATAATTAGTCTTTATTATGATAACATTGACATGTCTTTGGAATAATTAGTAAGACTAAAAAGAATATCCAGTATAGTTTTTGCTTTAAAGCATACTTTTTTGTTTTTTTTAATTTCAGCATATTATGGAAGTACAAATGTTTAGGTTACTTGTGTTGCCTCCCCCTGACTGCCCCCCTCCAGTCAGAGCTTGAAGCATGTCCATCCCCCACATGGTGTGCATTGCACTCATTATGTATGTATATACCCATCCCCACCTCCCCCCTCCCACCCTCCCGACACTGGATAAATGTTATTCCTATATGTCCACTTAGATGCTGATCTGTTAATACCAATTTTCTGGTGAGTACATGTGGTGCTTGTTTTTCCATTCTTGGGATACTTCACTTAATAGAATGGGTTCCAGCTCTAACCAGGAAAACATAAGAGGTGCTAGATCACCATTGTTTCTTATAGCTGAATAGTACTCCATGGTGTACCTATGCCACATTTTATTAATCCACTCATGTATTATGGGCATTTGGGTTGTTTCCACAGCTTTGCAATTGTGAATTGTGCTGCTATAAACATCCGAGTGCAGGTGTCTTTTTTATAGAGTGTCTTTTGTTCTTTTGGGTAAATGCCTAGTAATGGGATTGCTGGATCAAATGGTAGATTCACTTGTATCGCTTTAAGGTATCTCTATATTGCTTTCCACAGAGGTTGAACTAGTTTGCAGTCCCACCAGCAATGTAGGAGTGTTCCTATCTCTCCTCATCCATGCCAACATTTATTGTTTGGACTTATTAATAAAGGCCATTCTCACTGGAGATAAGCGATATCTCATTGTGGTTTAGATTTGCATTTCCATGATGATTAGAGATGTTGAGCATTTTTTCATGTTTGTTGGCCATTATTCTGTCTTCTTTGGGAAAATTTCTGTTCATGTCCTTTGCCCACTTTTTGATAGGGTTGTTTGATTTTTCCTTGCTGATTTTCCTGAGTTCTAAATAGATTCTAGTTATCATTTCTCCCATTCTGTATGTAGGTTGTCTGCTCTCATGACAGTTTCTTTGCCTGTGCAGAAGCTTTTTAATTTGATCAGGTCCGATTTATTTATTTTTGTTGCTGCTGTGATTGCCTTTGGGGTCGTTTAAAGCATATTTTGAATGGAGCTGTTTTTGAAGAAAGGGGATCCCTGAACACTGTTTATCTTACTATTTACCCATTTACCCCTCATTGGAAAGATAATATTCATTCATCACACACACTGCTCTTCTCTGCCACCAGGTGGTGCTGCAACCATGATGTCCCAGCTGAGCCCCTGGAACCTGTCCCCTGCGTGTAGTCCAAGGGCAGGCCCCACTGAGCATGGCCAGTTTTAGATAAACCACGTCCTGTATGAAATATATTTCTAAGCCCCCTTAAGGTTACACATAACCCCACAGTGAGGATGACAGTGAAAAAGCACTCTATTCAGGGAAGCAGAACTCAACCCACGATGGCGAGGAAATGACAAAGGTAGGTTGGTATAGTAGTGACAGTCCCAGGCTTTTGCTTCAACTGATGTCTTCGACAGTAACTTAATCACCCACTCCAGGGACTGACACCAGGGATGAAAGGTGACACACATACATCTTCTATGACCTTCCAGCTGCCACAGCTTGCCCAGCATGCACACCAGGGAGAAACGATGTAGGGTAAGGACCAAGTATGGGGACCTTAGGTCTGCACTGGCCCTCCTGTGCCCTGGTATCCATGCTTAGCATCTGCCCAGATTTTTTTTTGCTCTCGGCTAGGATCTTACCATTTGCCAGCCTCTCCCTGGTCTGTGAACAAAATTTCTCTCCCTATTTCCCAGAGTACTTTCAGTTACTTTCTGTAATTTCTAAGTAAGTTTTGAGCCACTTCCCAAAAGAAACACATAGAGATATAAGTTTCAAAGAAAGACAAAACTCTACAGCTGGGTCAGTTTATAAGCATGGGCCAAGGTGTATGATATACTCACAAATGCTGAGGGGCACCTGAAAGGAAGCAGTCTGCATGATCCCAGGCATTTAAAGGGCTCCATAAAAGAAGAGGTGGCACTTAGAAATAGAGGACTACTGTGTTTGGAGCTGGAAAAAGTCCTTTTTTTTCTTTTTTCTTTTCTTTTTTCCTTTATTTCCCAAGATGTTCAAGAGAAGAAGATAAAAAAAAAGGTCTTGGAGAATATCTGGTCTGGGCTCTCAAATAGTTCCCCAAAGTCCTAAGGGCTCATGAAGATACCTCAAGAGCCATCCTGGAAACCAACCAAGGAGAATTCCCAGCCCACCAACCCTCTGCTACCTGAGCAGCTCCAGTTTGATCCATTTACTCTATTGGGGCTCTGTGTGAGCTTTTTTGAACAAAGAATCCCATTCCTTTCCCCCACACACACCCCTTAAGTTGGAACCACCAATCTAGTCCAAACTGCTCATTTTACAGATGAGATCACCAAAGCACACTGGGGACTTTCCAAGATCACACATACCTTGAACTGAATCGTAAAGGAAGGGAATACTTTGGATATGCTGAAGTAGGGAGAACAAGGTATCTGTGTGGGAACATGGAAAAACCACTCTCCACCTGACCCACAGTTGGCAAAGCATGGTTGTCAAACCACATGATCCTAAAAACAGTGTCTTTGCTGCCCACGTTCTATTAAGAGAGACATACTCTCTTCCCAGAGACGCAGACATGCAACAAATATTAATACTAAACACCAAACCCATACCCATAGATCTTGACAAGCAACAGAATAGTCACTACCATTGCCAAGATGAATTTTTTTCTTTTCCATCATTTGACTTACAGTTACTTAATACTATCTCTCAAAGTGCCTCCCATATAGTTTTAAAAAGGCATTACTCCCTCCTGGAGATGCTAACCCAGGCTTGGCAATGGATATGCTGGTAGACATTGAGCAAATTTTATATAAATCCTATCTCATTGTAAAATGTTGACTTTCTCACCAAATTCTGTTTCCTCCTTATTTTTACAAAATGTGAACTTAATTTCAGACTAGTTTCAAGAGCTTGAGTCAGGCACATGAATTGGGAAAATCAAGGGCCAACACAGAGGCTAACTTAAAAAGAGATGGGAAATCTATAATTCAGGCCACAGGGAAGACGCTATTGCTTTTCCACTCTGGTGGTGAAGAGTAAACAAGTGTCCCCTTAGTTTCCTGCAGTATTTAGGTGAAAGAAGCCCACCTCAAATCAATTTAAGCACAAAAGAGAAGTTATAAGCCCAGGCAATGGAAAATTGTAGGGGCAGATCAGGTTCAGCTGGAAGAGGAGGAGTTCAAATGGTATGAGCGGGAATCCATCTCTCCCTCTCTTGTCTCTCCTTTGTCTTATGTTGTCTTCATCCTTACTCAGGCTCTCCTGGAGGAAAGGCAAGGCCCCAGCAGTTGCAGAAGACAAGCTCAAAGCCCTCCAGCAAGAGAGCACCTCTGTGCCAGGAGCTCCAGGTATCGGCAGTTGCATCTCATTGGCCTGAATTGACTCGTGTGCCCCTCCTTGGACATACTGCTTTCATTCTTGTTGGTCAGGCTGCATCACGTGCCTAACCCTGGCACTGGGAATTGAGAACTTACCAGAGGTTACCTTTTGGTAAAACTGAGTCTTAAAAGATGGAACCCAAGCCAAGGGCTAAGACTAGGGGAGGGCTGGTTCCCCCAAGGGAAAAGATAGGTTCTGTTGCAGGAATGAGCAGGTAAAACCACAGCTATGTCCTCTCCTCACCTGCCCAGTTCTGCAGCTCTCTGTGCTAAGGCACACCCAATACCTTTGGAGGGTTCTAGAGTAGCTAAATAATAGACACTATTAGCCCAGCCAGCCTGCCCATTCAATTATGTGTTTACTAAATGTTTATTTGTAGTAAGCCACAAACTTAAACTGAGCCCATGCAGGGAGTGTTATTGGGTAAACTGACTTCCAGGAGCCACTGTGGCAGGAAGTACTACAGGCTTCCTGCTGGCCATGTCCCCAGGGCTACATTTGGGGACTTGGCTGATTGTTAGCTGCTTTTTCTTCCTTCCTGCAAGCCCCAGGTTCCAGCCTTTCTTTTTCTTTTTTTCTCTGTTTCCTGGGAGTTTTCTCTTCTCCTACCTTTGGCTAGGCAGGGGACATGTCTTTCCAGCTACATCTGACACCCTTGAAAACAAGGAAGAAGATTTTCTTCTTTATTAGGATGGAAAGCACACTGAGAACTGGGAGACGTTCAAAGATTCAGAAGCCTTACTGTTTTTTATGGTCATTTTTTCTGATCATTGTCCTCTTCGGGTTCCTAGCCTTAGGAGGTTCCTGACCTTCATGGAGTTTCTATCTCCTCTTCTGTGGCTGCAGTTGAACTCAGAGACTCTGTAGACTCCTGCATGTCGGCAGTACCTGCTTACCACTTACTGAGCACTTCCTCTGGGCCAGACACTGTGGAAATCTTTAGTGTATCATCTCGGCTCTGAGGTGGCTCCTCTTACCATCACAAAAGAGGAAACTCGGGGCCCCAGAGACTAAGTCACATGTCTGAATATACACAGCAGCCGAAGGACTGGAACTAGTCTATCCAGCACTGCAGCCAAGCTCTTGCCCACCACACTGTCCTCTGTGGGCCTCTGCTTTGGGAACCCTTCTCCAGCATGGGAGCCTGAAGGCAGAGAATGATAAGAACATGCAAGTGTGCACTGGAACACCACTCAGGAGCCCCCAGAGACTCTCAGGAAGGCCATTGGCACTTATGATGACCACAAGGCTAGATGATTTCAATCTGACAATGCACACCTCCCACCCCACCAAACATGCACAGAAGAGGTGGGTTTTCTTCATGCATTAGCCCGGCTGGTACCTAACCAGAACCACCTCCATTTTATGTAGTCGAGAATATCTCAAACTTATTCCATCCATGTGCTTTTTTGACTAGTGCCAAATTCTTATTACCATCATCCCGTGCCAATTCTGGCATGACCCCAGTGGTTTCTTCCTTCCCATTCTGGTTTTTACTCGTCTCCATCCCACCAGCCAATGGGCTTTGTTGAGCTTCAGTTCCTACAGTGTGAATGACAAAAGAAACCCTCCCTTTTATTTTCCATATGTAAAATTATCGTGTCATATTGAGTATGATTTTCAGGATACACCCAAACATATTTAAAATATTTAATGCCTCAGGAGGCATGGGCTTCAACCAATCAGAATCATTGCTGAACCTTACCACACACTGGTGAATGCCAGCCGGACACCAGCCCTGTGCCCACCCAGCCAGGAGTCCTGCAATACTTCCTGGGGGCACCTCTCCCCCTACCACATCTGAGAATACTCAGGTGGGACCTAGTGTTTCTGCGAGTGTTGCCACAGAATTCCACTGGGTGAGAAAACAGCATAAGTGGAGATTATGTAATGCTTCCTCCTTTCTTTTACGAAAACCTTCCTCTCAACCAATTTCTTCATCATGGTGGGGCTGATCCTACTCATTCAAGGGACGGAATATTCAGGAATGAGTAACAACAGCCAGGTGTGTCCGCGTGTGTCAGAAGGATGCCCCACGGTCCAGTTATGCTGCTATTAAGTGGCATCGCCCTGTGCTCGCCTCAAACTCCAACCGTCAGGAAACTCGGCAGGTGTCTACACAGCAGCCACCCACTGAATCCTCCCAAGGGCATTTCCACTTGCTTTTCAGATCATGAGACTCTTGGTTTCATAATCCTTGAACATTGACCCAGTCGTGAGAGAAGAAGCCAACACCCAAACGGGAACACTTCTGCTCTTGCCTGTGTTAGAAGGAAGCACGATGACATGGCAATCTCCCATGAAGCAAGGCTCTTAGGGCAGAGCCTCCAGGTGACACCAAAAGGGAGGGACACGCTCAGCCCAGCCGGACAACAGCAGGGCCCAAAAGAGACTGGATCAGCATCTGGGAGAAAGATGCAAACAAATTAGGTGCATGTCAAACACCCTCTGTTGATTCCCCCAAATAATTGTAAAGTCTACAAGGGCTATGGTTCTCCACTGGAAAACTCATAGAAAAAAAAAAGTACAACAAGTGCTATATTCTTGTTCACGGAAGATAAGGTGTAGTCAGGTCAATAAAATTTTATGGCGGGCGCTATGGGTCATGCAGCAGGGAATGTACAGGTGAGTCTCCCTCTTCCCAGCACTAATACGGAGACATTAGGGGAAATTAGTCAAGGCACTTCTGGAATTCTACAGAAGGAGAAAACTGAAGATTAGCCCTTGAGATCTTTTTCACCTCAAATCTCCAATGCCTTGCCTGGGGGGAGCCCTAACGGTTCTCAAATATTAACAGTTCCCCAGGATTTAGTCTCTCATGGTCCTTTCACTTAACGCTCCTGAGTCCCCTCCAGCTATCTCTGCAAACTCACAGCCGTCCGTCCTGCTCTGAGTTCTCCAGAAAAAGGTACTTGCACAACAAGCAAATTCATTGTTGCCTCACTGCTAGCCTGGAAACCCACAACTCCAACCGTAGGAAACTGGTCAAATGTATTATGGTACACTCATACAATAGAATAGTAAGTTGCATATGAGGATATAAACCAGAGCTACATCTGCTCAAGGTCAAGTGTTAAGTGACAAGGGCAAGGGCAGAACAAAGGAGATATGATACTGTTTAAGAAAAAGTACACAAAGAACATCTCCGGCAGGAGATACAAGAAGCTGGTAACAAAGTTTGCATTTGGAGAGAGAAGTTGAGGGGAGGGGTCAGACATGAAAGGAAATACACACATCTATAGGAGTTTTTGTAACAATGAGCCAGTTACTTTAAGACATTTTCTAAAAAGGAAGGGTGGTGGAGAGAAGCAGGCTACACAAAAGCATTAGGGAACAAGTTTCAGCTTCACTGAAAATGTCCTGGAGGAGGAAGGGGAGGCCTTTATGTCCACCTCCCGTAGAATTTTTCAGAGATTTCGGATCCCACAGTTCCTTTTAGAACACCCACTGCCAGGAGCTCGTCTCCTGGCCTTCCTGCATCACCCCTTTGGCTCTGTTGGGTCTTCGTCATGCGTTCTCATTTCTCCACACACCAAACTCAATTCTGCCCTCTTCTTTAAAGCCACTGGATGGAAACGCCTTTCTTCCATGATCTGCCATTAAACTGACAAGTTTAATGTGTGCAGGCTGTTTCTAGTCGGCCATCTTGGCCCCACCACCTGCATAAATGTTTCTAACCTTCCTTTTCCCGGATTTTTAACAGGGGGTTTAGAAGACTGACTTGTAGCCTTCACTGTTCTCAGCTTGTCATGTGCCTCGGGGTTCTTGAGGACCCGATTAGAGTCAGGTAAGCAGCTCTCACCCTGAGCAGAAGAAGACCCTCAAAGACTGTGTCGTGAAGACATTCCACCAAGGGCTGTGTGTCACCACCACCCCCCCTGCCCACAGGGCCTTGGTGTGCTCTCCTGCTCCTCAGGCGTCCCTGGCTACAGAGGAACAATCTGCCTTCTCCAGAAGTCGTTCAATTTTTTAGTAATTTAGAGTCCAAAGAGGAAGTTCTAAAATTCAGTAGTCTCCTGAAAATTGTAATTATTCTCTTCAGTAAGCCCTATAATGTTGCCATTGTTCCCTTCCTCCCCTGCCCTGTAGCTGCTGAAGGATGAAGACCTTTTGAGATGGACTTTCAAGCTCAATCTCTTCACAGCAGTGAGGGTACTTGGGCCTGGTGTAGCCACCAAGCTTCCTGTTGCTTCTTCCTTCCAAGACACCCAGTGTGGTCATGGGTGGGTGAGCCTGGCTGTGTTACCTCATGACTAAATCACCTCCTTTCTCATGGTTTCCCACGAGGGGATCAAAGAGTTGATCACATAATTTTTATTTTTGATCGTTATCATTTTTCTTTTCTTTCTTTTTTGTTTTTTTGAGACAGAGTCTCACTCTGTTGCCCCGGCTAGAGTGTCATGGCATCAACTTAGCTCACAGCAACCTCAAACTCCTGGGCTCAATCGATCCACCTTTCTCAGCCTCCCAAGTAGCTGGGACTACAGGCAGGCGCCACCATGTCTGGCTAATTTTTTCTATATATTTTTAGTTGGCCAATTAATTTCTTTCTATTTATAGTAGAGACGGAGTCTCGCTCTTGCTCAGGCTGGTTTCAAACTCCTGACCTTGAGCAATCCTCCCACCTCAGCCTCCCAGAGTGCTAGGATTACAGGCATGAGCCACCTCGCCCAGCCCTGGTTTCATTTTCTTACATAAGTAATATATGAATATATCTTTATTGTACAAGTTTCAAAAATACAGATGTGAACAGAGCATAGCTGAAAGCCTGCACCGTCCTCCCATGTCAACTCTTCCTCACGGTGACAAGGTCCTTCCAGTTGGCCCGGTGTTCACACCCTACACGGCACATGGATCTATGCACGTGTATTATTTTTGCCATTTTTTTAGATATAGATATTACTTTGCAACTTAAAAACTTAGCATGTTCTTCACTTAGAAATCTCACCTTAGGATATAGAAATACATTTCATTCATATATAACCATACTCACACACACATATGTAATACTCTCATACCCTAGACTTTTATCCTCATACAAAAGAGATTGTCCTATACACATGGTTCTGCACTTTGAGTTTTAGACACTAGAAAACTCAGCACATCCATGTCTTCCTCCTTCCTGTTTTCATTAACAACTGCGTCCTCTTCCATCATTTGGATGTGCCAAAATGTATTAAGCAGGAGCCCACCGGACAACATTTTTGTTCTAAGTATACTTCTCATCTATCTGTGTGACAGTCCTTTAATCGAGCCTCGTGTTCTGTGGCGCCATGAAACATGAAGGTTATTCCACAGGAAATGGCGCTGAGTGGAAAGGGATGGAAGAGAGGATCCCTGGGTAAGGAAGGGCTGAGAGGCTGCTGTTTCCTCCTGATTCATCTCCTGAACTTTCTGGTGATGTCAGTCAGTAGTTACTATTAGCTCAGGTTTTTACTTTCCAGTTTCGGCTTCTTTTCATCTTACCTCAAGCTCTTTTGACAAGTCACTCCAAATGACAGCTCCATCTATACTTGTATGCAGAGTTTGTTTCTGGGTGGGACAAGATGTCCTCTCTAATTAAAGATGTTCCATCCCTAAGTGATTCATTTCCTCTGAGCACCTCAGATGTGTCTAATACATTTCTTTTTTTTTGCAACCAGATGTGCATGAATATAGCTGTTACTTCTGTGTAAGGCAGGCGTACACCTGTACACCCGATATAAATGGAAACACTAAGGTCAGAGTGATATGATGTGAGAACTCTACCCACTGTTGCTGGCTTTGAAGATAGAGGAAATGGGCCACAAACCAGCAAGTGTGGAAAGGCAAGGAGATAGATTCACCCCTAGAGATTCCGCAAAGGAACACAGGCTTGTTGACACAGTGATGTTAGCACCATGAGACCCATTTCGGACTTCCGAACTAGATAAGTGTAGGACAATAAATCCATGTTGTTTTAAACCAAAATAAATAAATAAACAAAAATAAAAATGCTAATTTAATGTTTTGATGCATTGGTAACTTATCAGCCTAAGTGCTTTGTTTTCCTCTAGAAATACTGCCTCCCGTATTAAATAGACCTTATTTAGTTGTAGGGTCATTTTAACCAAAGCTGTGTTTCCCAAGAAAAGCTTGAAACTGATTTTTTTTTAAAAAAAGCTTTATTACTTTGTTTCGACATTTCTGACGTTGCTGCACGTATTTGATCATGCAGCCAGCGAGTGCTTGCTTATGAGCCTGGATGTCCCATCATGATCATAACCTTTTTAAAATATTGTTATGATTTTAATCCCTGCCACCGAACCAGTTTTTCGACTTTGTTCTGATTTTAACACCTGCCCATTCTGCTCTTTTGTCATCTTCTGCTGGCTCCACTTGCCCCCTCAGCAGCCTGGAACCCACAATTGGCTGTTTTGGACATGTGTGCACAGTCTGGAATCCCTTGTCCCCTTGGGCCCATACTGTGGCCACTGGGACCTCCTATCTGGCCCCCACCCCAACACTCTCTCTGAAGATGTGCCCCTCCTAATCACTCAGGGGAACCCAGCTGCCTGGCCCTGTCCCCTCCCTCCAGCTCTGCCTGTGACCTTGCTCCATCACCCATTCTCTCTCTCTCTCTCTCCCTCTCCCTCTCTATCTCTATCTCTATCTATGTCTCTCCCTGTATCTCTCTCTCTCTCTCCTCTCCCCCCCCCAAGCTGGTTGCTTTCTCTGCAAAAGGAAAAAAGCAAACAGAGTTAAAGCTTCCTCTAAAAATACTTTTCTCAACCTGCTATTCCCTTAAGCTATTGTTCTATCTCTTCCCTTCTCCTGCCAAAGTTCTTTAGACACTAGTCTGAACTGGTTTTTTCACCTCCTTCCCTCTCAATTTATTTTTAAATAAATTAAAAATTAAACATAAAAGTGAATGCACATTTGGTAAATATTCAACAAAGGAGAATGCAAAATAAAAAAAAACTCACCCCCATCTGACTGCCGGTCATTTTCCTCTAAGATGATTGGGGAAATTAGTTAATTGATTGATTAATAGGGTCCAGAATCTCTTTTCAGAAAAGAACGATCTATATTGATTTTATATATTGTACTGTTTATACATATAACATATTATATATATTATATACATACTCACACCTGCAAATATATTTACAATCTTCTAAATTTTACACATATAGAATCAAACACTGTTCTGATCTTTCTTTTTAAAAAAATTCAATTATATATCCTAGTCCAAGAAATATTGAACTTTTAAAAATTATTTGAGAACAGTCAGAGGAGTGGTTGCTACTGATAAGAGGGTCTTAATAGTTGGGGACCGGAGTAAAAGAGCAACTTTCTTTTCATTGCATACCCTTTTGTAGTATTAGAATTTTGCACTATGTTCCCATATCACCTATTTCATAAATAAATCACTTAAAATTATATCTTGAATATTATATCTTGAATTGAAATCTTGAAAATTATATCTTGAATATCTTTCTATGTTAGCATATACAGATATAACTCATTATTTTGAATGGCTTCAAAATAGTCAGTTATATAGATGTGCCATGATTTGTGTAAATAATTTCTTAATCATGGCTGTTTGGGTCGTTCTCGGGCTTCAGAGTCACTATTGTTTGTGCATGTGCCTGCAATCCCATGGCAACGCGTGTTCTGTTCCTGCCCCGCACCCCTTTCCTCTTGTGTGTCTGTATATAGATCTCATGAGGCTCCTTTCTGACTACACATCCTTGAATGGGGTGAGTTTTCCTCTATGAGCCTTTGCAAGAGTTCTGGTCAGGGAGAAGGCCCGTGGCAGGTTGTAATCCTTCTGGAATGTTCTGCTGACTCAGGACGTGGGTGAGAGATTCCTTTAGACCGCAGGACAAGCAGGTGGAAGGCTGTGTGCATCCTGGTCTCTGTTCTGCCTCCTGCCCCCGGACTGGCTGGTTCCCACATGTGGCTTGTCTGTGAGCATCCTCATTCATCCTCACCTCCTCTGCCCCCAGGACCAAGCCGAGTGCGGGGTAGCTCCCCAACACCCCTGCACCCCACTCCTGCTGGGGTGAAAGGAGAATTTGGGTTTTGTATCTCAGTGACAGCCTGTAAGATTAAAAAGGTAAACTTGTTTGATTTTCCCTGCGATCTAAGGGTCCCATCTCCACTTCCTCCATCCCTCCTGTTCCGTCTCACTGCTTTGGCATGGCTTTTGCATACTTTGTGGAATAGCTGTGTGTATATGATAACAAACAAACACAGACCAGCACAAAAGGCATGCAGGAAATACACCTGCCCTGCAGTTGGTCCCAGAGTCACCCCACAAGAGGCAGACTCTGCTACTTGTTTCTTGTATGTCCTTCCAGACGTGGTCTGCACATACTCAGACAGGTGGAGCTGCAGGAAACTGACCCGAAATGGTTTTTATTTGTCATTGATCTCCTGCCCAACATCTATTTTCCTCTTCCTTCCTGGAGAATTCCTGTTTGCTCAGGAATCCATTCCTCCCATGAGTGCTCCCCCCTCAGGAGATGTTGAAACCATCTCCACTCCAGGGTTGGGCCTTTCTTTCTCCAAAAGGGGCATCCCTTTGGCCAATCTTTGGGTCAGGAATGAGCCTGTGAGGCAATTTTAACCCATAATGCAAGGTGAGGTTTGCTGCGGGGAAACTCCAGACTAACCCTTTCTCGGTGCCTCTGGATGAGCCATTCACAGAGGTGACACATTCCCGGACCAGGCTGACGGAGGACCCAACACAAGGAAAGGGGCCCAGAAATGCAGCTGGAGCCACCAGATTGTGCCAGCCCTGAAGCCAACCCTACTTGGGACTTTTGGCTTTTTGAATATTATTATATAAACCAGTTTGCATTGAGATTTCTGTCCCCGACAGCCAAGGGCATCCTGAGAGCTCCAGGAGTGATGAACAAGTGGAGAAACCCCCTCACTTCTGGTGAAGCTGCCATGGGAAGAACGAACCAGTGAGAAGTGGACCACTGCCCTTGAAGGTAAAGGGAGTGGAAGGCAACAGAATCAGAGTGCCTCGTGTGACCAAGAGTGACACTGAGTACCCAGCAGCTGTGCTTTGTCTTTCTACTGGCCCAGAAAACTCAGGGACCAGGCACCCAGCAAGGTGCTTCAGGAAGAGGGACCCTGGTCCTGGGCATGTGCGCATGTGACCCAGTCCCAGCTCAGAGGGCAGAAGGGAAGTGTGCTGGAGGAATGCCCTCCTGTGCCACCTGAGCCTCCTACCTCTGAGCACAGGTGTGTGAGGACCGGGTGTGTGGGCCAGCTGCAGCCAACTGACAGTCCTGAAGGAAGGGCCAAGAGAACCTCAGAGACGCCAGCCCAGAGCCCTGGGGTCACAGAGTCTCTGAGCCAGCTATGCCCACACTTCCCTATAGATGAGAAAACTGAACTCCTCTAATCAAAACTCATTTTAAGTGGGTATTCTGTTACTTTCTTTTTCTGTTTTAGAGACAAGATCTTACTCTGGCACCCAGGCTGGAGTACAGTGGCATGATCGTAGCACGATCTTAGCCAAGGGCTGCCGTGATTAATCAGGAGTCCTGAGGGCAGCTCAGAGCCAGGGAAGCCCACCCCACCCCCGGAGCTGCCCCTTTGCACTGCTTCAAGTCTCGTGGGAGCCAGGACTGGGCCCAGGGTGAGCGTGGACGGACCTGGGACATTTGCCTGCTCCAAAGCATCCCTGCCACTCCGCAGAGCCCTTCTGTGATCACACTGCATTTAGGAGCTCGTGATGTGATGTGAGGAGATGTGACACAGCCATCAATACATCAAACATGTAACAGCAAATCTGTACACACTTAAAACACACCTCTGAGGCTCCCCACCGCCTCTGTGCACAGCCCTCTGTCTTCAGAGGCTGACGGGCCCTGTGCTCTGCCTGCTCTCCGGCTGTCTCTCCCCCACCTCTTACCACACCCAACGCCCAGTACCATGCACCACGTTTCCTCGAAAATAAGACCTGCCCATAAAATAAGCCCTAGCTGGATTTCTGAGCATTTGCACAATATAAGCCCTACCCCAAAAATAAGACCTAGTGATGAGCGTGGCTACGCAGCAGATCTGCACAACCCATGCATTTCGTCACGGAGCGGTAAAGAAGACGAGCAGCCCTTCTCATCTGCCCCACGAGAGCGCTATTGCTCAATATGAGAGATTGGGGCCAATGGTTCTAAAGGAAATAGAGTCACAAGAAATTCAGGATGGAATTAGGGGTTTGGAGAGTTATGATGATGTTCCAAAAGAAGACAACTATATTTGAATAAATGTAGATTGTTGTACAGTACTTAAAAAAAAAAATAACACATCCCCTGAAAATAAGCCCTAGGGTGTCTTCTTGAGGAAAAATAAATATAAGACCCTGTCTTATTTTCGGGGAAACACGGCATGCTGTTCTTGCCCTTGCTGTCCCCTCTGCCTGCAGTGCCCTTCACGTCCTTGCAGACTCACAAACTTCCTCTCCTCTTCCTCTCCTCAATGAGCCATCTCACCTTGTTATGGCCCTTTCCCTAACCGCCCTCCAGGGAGGAGTGACTGCTCTCTTTTGGTCACCTGGTGTCCCCATGTTCTTCTGTTACACGGCCTAGAATACTTTATGACACTTGTGTCCATTTTCCCCATCTCTGTCACCCACTAGACTGTAAAGTCCTGGGGACCGGGGCTGGGTCTGGCCCGGAGTAGCTGATTACTAAGTGTCTGCTGCGTGGACACATGGGTGCGTGGGTAAGGCCCAGCGCGTATGTGCTCATGTGCCGGGCTCTCCTATGCAGGAACGAAGGCCCTTTCCCTGCCCTCAAGGAACTCCCTGAAGATGACAGAAAATTCATCACATGCGTGATGAGTCAGGGCACAGCTTGTCGTGCAAGCTCAGCTGAGGGGCGCCCCTCGGGTGGGGGAAAGAGGTGCGTTTGGTGGGTACTTCCTAGAGGAGCTGACACACAATCTGCATCTGGCCCTGTTGCACCCGCAGGAGTCAGCCATGCGGAGACAGGGACAGAGGGGTAGCCGGTGTAAGGCTGGTGGCGGCCCCCTCCCTTCCCTAGATCAAAAAGAAAAGGCTCATGAGACCAGACCCACCAAGGACAAAACTGCCAAGCCCCGCTGAGAGGATCCACACCCAGATGTCCACCTGGATAAGAACATTTCAGCTCTTGGATTCCACAAACACCTCCAGCCCCTCCTAAAATCCCCAGCTCTTCCCGCCAAAAGTCCCTAGTTAGGCCCAAAGGGTATAAAAGGCCTCAACCCCTTCAAACAGCGGCGACTTCCGGGGTCCCCCTCTCTTGGGGCCCGAGAAACTCGTCCACGAGTGTGTAATAAAGCCACGTGGTTTGGCCCCCACTCTTTCTCTCTCTGTGTCTGTTTTTTCTTTTCACCGCCGCCGAAAAACCTTACAGCCCGGGACACAGCGAGCAGCGAGTCCGAAGCCACCAAGGAGTCAGCCGCAAAAGAGTGGAAATGGCTCAGAGCCCACATAGTGTAGCAGAGTAAAGGAGGAATGTGCAGAATAACAGGGAGACGGCCCCAAGGCAGGGAGGACCCATGACGAGGACCACATCCCCACATCCCCAGAAACCTGGACAGCTTTTAAGAGAGAACGTGGCAGGGTCTGCATTTTCCAAGATCACCCACCCCAGCAGCAGTGTGGCATGTGCAGTGAGGCCAGGCGGAGGCTCTCCAAGATCCGGTAACGAACTGATGAGCGCTGGACCAGAGGGAGCAGTCAGGAGTTCAGGCCAGGAGGGACTTGGGGACACATTGGTTAGCGACTGGCCACTCTGCATAAGTGAGAGCCGAGGGCAGGGCAGGTGCCGCCGGGTTTCTGGCCTGGCCGACGTGAGGGGTGACGTACCTGCAGGAGGATGAGCAAGCGTGGAAGAAGTAAGCTTCGGGGTAGCTTCAGTTTGGGTCCCACTGAAGCGGAGGGGCCTGAGGAATTCCCGGGCCGGGCCTTCTCCAGAGGCAATGAGATCTCCATGCCCGAGGCTTAGCCATGAGGTCCAGGCAGGAAAAATCCATGGGGTGCCCGTCAGTGAAAAGGTGACAGCGGGGGCCCTGTGAGGACACAAGGTCTTTCAGGGAGGGGGTGTGTATACAGCAAGAAGATCCAGCTCCAGGATATGCCTTATGTGTAGCAAAATTCTTACGAGGCTGAGACAGTATGCAGATATACAGGAAGAAAAAAGGGACCTTGCTGCCATTAGCAGTGGGAGGAAGGGAACTTCCAGAGGGGCCCCGTCGTCTATGAGGCCAAATCCGGCCACGTAGGCAAGTCAGGAAAAAACGTGGAAAGTGTTCATTCGTGGCCACGTTTTTCAGCGCTCATCAGCCTGTGGGTACAAGCGAGAGCACACTGATAGTAACAGCACATGTCACTGGCTTGTCGCCAGCCATCTGCTTAGTGGGACTGCCTCTCCCCTGAAAAATGCCCTCACTTCCCACTAAGTATTTCTGGGAGTGCCTGCGTGTCCCACACAAGCCCAAGGAGAGTCCACATGTGCTCACACGGGGCGCACAGCGCTTTCTGTCCACAGCCCTTGAGGACGGGGCCTCTGCAGTCCCCATCGTGACAGCCCCGTGGAAATGCCCCTGAGGTCCGCGCTGGGTTCCACCTCCTGATGTGCCACAGCTACAAGCCTGCATGGTGTCAGTGCAGCCGAGCTCTCTCTGCTCTGAATTTTTCACTGTGCTGAAGCCATAGTATTTTCTGAGAAATGGAGAGGACACCCCCTCTCTGCCATCTGTCTGTACCGCATGTCTCCCACGGTGCCTCACGGAAACGCCTTCCTTAGCTTGTGCCTCGTGCCTGTCTGTCCTGAGGCTTCAGACACCAGCCCCTGGGGCTGAGAGAGTGGAGACCCCCGTGCCCCAGCCTCTGCCCCAGGTACCCAGGCCTGTAGGTGACCCTATGCAAACAGGCCCTGTGGGAGGTTCACTCCACCGCTTACCAAAACCTGCACACCCAGGCCTCTGGGTGAGGCTCGGTGGGCACACCTCGCTCCCAGAGGTTTAGCAATGTAGATAAGGGTCACGGTTGGTGTCGGCCAAAGGCGGTTCAGCAGAATGGTAGATAAGGAGAGCACCAGCAATGACATTAATATGGGGAACGAGTGGGAGGTGAGTAAACATGATAGCAAGTTCCATGAAAGGGTGGAGGCAGGAATGCAGGAAAATGGAAGGTGGTCGTGGTGGTGTCGTTTTTTAATAAGGGAGACACTGGAACATAGTCACGTGCTGAGGAAAAAGAGGCAGCAGGAAGGGAGACACTCACAGCAGACACTGAGAAGAGAAAGGCTGTGAGGGAACAGCCATGGAGGGACACAGGATGACCATGGGCCAAGAGAGCCTGAGGCGCCAGCCTGGAGGGCCCTGAGAGACCCTGGGCCCCAGGAGGCCTCTGGGAGGGGACCGGCAACAGGAGTCTAAGAGAAAGGAAGACAAAGAAGAGGGGAGACACAACTAAGCTCATTCTGGAGGGACGTGGAGCTGTGGGCCAGGCAGCCCCGAGCCCAGGCCCGACAAGCCACCTCCAGCCTCCCAGCCCGCCACCTTGCTGCTGATGGAGATCTCACTCAGCTGCCTCTCCGTGACTCAGAACCTGGGCTTCTCCTTCTGCCATTTTAATTTTAGTCCCAATTAGAGCCACTTTTCTTCCCTCCTCTCTATCTCACTGTGCTTGGGATTCCACCCACGTGACAGTGGTGGTGTCCTGCTCTGGCCCCGGCCCCACCTCTTTGAAAATACTCTGATTTCAGTGTACAAATTCCTGGAGAAAATGATGATGATCCACTTTTTTTTTTTTTTTTTGAGACAGAGTCTCGCTTTGTTGCCCTGGCTAGAGTAGTGAGTGCCATGGCGTCAGCCTAGTTCACAGCAACCTCAATCTCCTGGGCTCAAGCAATCCTGCTGCCTCAGCCTCCCAAGTAGCTGGGACTACAGGCATGCGCCACCATGCCCGGCTAATTTTTTTTTTGTATATATATTACTTGGTCAATTAATTTCTTTCTATTTATAGTAGAGATGGGGTCTCACTCTTGCTCAGGCTGGTTTTGAACTCCTGACCTCGAGCAATCCGCCCACCTCGGCCTCCCAGAGTGCTAGGATTACAGGCGTGAGCCACCGCGCCCAGCATGATGATCCACTTTTAAAGGAATTTTTCCTTGATCTGTTTGTTTAACTTACCACACATTGGAGGGATCGGAGCTGAGCCCGGGAGTAGAAGACGCTGGCTGCACAGGAAGGAGATTGGGCACCCCGGGGCCCCCACCCTGTGCCTTCTGACACTGGAGGTCAACAGGGGGTCTGGATCGTTACAGAAACAGGGAGAACACAGGGGCAGAGGAAAGATCCTCATTTGATCTGTAGTTTAGAGTCAGGGGCTATCTTAGAGTTTGCTTCCATACTAAACAGCTATTGAAGGGTCCCCAACTCAAATGCTTAAGGGGTGCAGCAGGTGTCTCAAGGGTGTGGGCCTCTCAGGTGGGACCTGGAGCAACCGGAACTGCTGCCTGCCCCATCCAAAGGGGACAGCAGTTACTCAGCCCCAGCAGCTGCCACTAAAGATGCACCCTCTGCACTGTCTGACCTGAATTTTCACTGAGAAGCTGCAAGTCCGGATTCTTTTGTGCAGTCTTCAGATTTTTAAATACTTAGAATGAATTCCATTAAAACAACCACAACAGCAAACACCCACTGTACAGGCCAAGCAAAACACGCTAGAAGAAACCTCCACGTGGGGCGCAAAGTCACAATTTCAATTTCATTTCCTCTAAAGAGATTTCAAAGCGCTCTGTTTCTTGAGCAATTCTGTTTGCATTTGGGTAAGTCCAGCCATATCTCCAAGAAGGGAAACAAAGAATTTGCTCAAAGAGGCCTCCACATCCCCCTCCCTGAGGCTGGTCTGTGCAAAGCTCTGCTTCCCCAGGGTGTGACTTAACTCTGATCCTTGCCAAAGGGCAGGCACTCCCCAAAAGGTCTGAGGACAACAAAGACACCCTGGCCATAGCTACGAATGACAAAATAGCAAGTATGCATTCACAGACATCGCTAGTGAATTGTACCAGACAGAAATGCCTTTGGAGCTGTCCCTTTAAAACTCGAGCAGCTACCAGGCTAACTCCTCCTCCAGGGAGGTTCCTTATTAAATGAGAGCCAGCTGGCCGGGCCTCGTTCTACACCCTAAGCAATACCTGCGACTGAGGACTGCTCCCTGGGAGACGGCAGCCTGTCAGCATGGCTCAGGAGTTTGTGAACGGCAAAATCCAGCCTGGGAAGGTGGTCGTGTTCATCAAACCCACCTGCCCCTACTGCAGAAGGACCCAAGAGATCCTCAGTCAACTGCCCTTCAAACAAGGGCTTCTGGAATTTGTCGACATCACAGCCACCAGCGAGGCAAACGAGATCCAAGATTATTTGCAACGGCTCACAGGAGCAAGAACGGTGAGCGTGGGGTTCGGCTTGAAAAGGCTCCCGGGTTGCTCTTTCTTGCTGGGGCTGTGTCTTTCTCTGGGACACCGCCAGGGTTCCGTTGTTCAAGGCGTCTAGAGGGCTTTGCAGGGCGTGGGGGAGGGCGCCTGAGAGAAGACACTGGTCACTTGAATGGGCGGCTGGCCTGCAGCCACCGGTCCTCTCAGAGCAGAGAAAGCAGCACAGCTGATGTGCGCTGTGTGTCACAGCCAGCGGCCCCGGCAGCTTGTCTGGGAGTCTCTGAGGAGTCATCTGGAGTCTTTGTTTTAAGCACTGCTGCAAAATGACAGTTTTCAGCCACCAGGGCTGGGGGTGGAAGGCGGAGTGGAGGGGCCGGATGTGATCTGTACATTTCTCTTACCCAGCATGGGTAAGTGCATGCTTCCTCCTGTTTTCATGCGGCCAAGTGGGATTTACTGTCCTCAATCTTTCTTTAACCATAACCTAATTTGCCTATCTTGTCTATTTCTCTTATCTAACTCCTCCTGCATCATTGTCTACCTTTTGCTCTAATCACGGTTGTTTCCAGGCCCGTCAGAGTAGGGAGTCCGAAGGCCAGCGTTCTGGCTGGGCTGTCACAGCGGCTTGCTGTGATCTGGGGCAGGTCACCGTCCCTGTGATCCTCAAAAATCCCAACTGCAAGACCAGATTAAAGTAGGTGACCTCAAAGTCCCTTGTGCTAGGCACAGACCCTGGGACCTTCTAAGAACTGCTGTCCTCCATCTGAAAAGACTTCCCGCCCTCAGCCTTCTGGGCTTCCAGGGGGACATCCTGCCAACCAGATCACCTGTATCGGTTCTGGGGTGAGAAATATCCCACCAGCTCGCTGAAATTCCCTTCCGGATGCACATTCTAAGACATAGTGTTGGCAGAAGCAAATATCGTATTTTAGCTTGGGTTTGGTTTTATTTGTGGGCTTTTCTCTGGGTTCTGAGTATAAAGCATGGAGGTGGTTTTTTCCTTCCCCCCCAATAAGAAAATAGCATTTTGGTGCAGAGGGAGGCTAAATGTGTTACCCTATTGCTATGAGCCAAGGTCCTTGAGCAGACACAGGGATGAGGGAGGCTCTGGTGGCTTAGCGGGACCACCAGCTACACAGGGCACCAGGCCAGTGCAAAGGCTACCACGGACCTTGCTAGGGCCCCCACCCTGTATCCCTCTTAGTCAGTGGTTCCCAAACTTTGCTGCACATTAGAATCACTTGGGGAGCTTTTAAAACAATCCTCATGCCCAAATTATACCCCATACCAATAAATCACAGTGTCAGAGGTGGGACTCAAGCATCAGTAGTTTGAAAGATCCCTAACTGAGTCCAGTTTGTGACAAAGTTAGGGAACTACTGTTCTCAGCCCAACTACATCTGATCTCTAGCAGGTAAAGCAAACTACTTCATGCATTTGTTTAACAAGTATTTTTCATTTCTTTATAATACTATTTCTTGTAGTGGCCTTTTCGATTTGTTTATAATTTTTTAAGGACATTTTTCATACATTCTTGAGTCCTGAATGCATTCCTCCAAGGGGAAGAACAAATCCTGTAAAGTTGTATGCTTTATGATATCCAACAGTGAAGTGTTTAGAGTCAAAGAAATTGAGGGCAGTTTCTGTCTTAATTATCCTGTAATGACCTATGGTCCTTTGCATATAGTAGGAGATTAGCATGACTTGACTGACTACAGAAACTGGTACTTTCATTCAGGCCATGTACTTGGAGAAGCCTGTTTTGGTTTTGCTATAGCCACAGCTCCTAGGTCAGTACCTTCATTTATTTCTTCCCTAATGCTCTTTTCTTCATGTAGATCTGAATTTCTGTCCTATATCATTTTTCCTTCTCCCTGAACAACTTCTTGGAGCATTTCTTGCAAGGCAGCTCTATTAGGAACAAACTCCCTCAAGATTGTTTGAGAAAGTATTTGTCCTGCATATTTAAAGGATGAATTTGCTGGATACAACACATATTTTTAAGCATGTACCATGTACCAGGCACTTTTCTGGACATTGGGAACATAGCCATGAAAAAACAAAAACAAAAATTCCTGCCATTTTAAACCTACATTCTAGTGGGAGAGACAAACAATAAATACTATAAATACAATAGTAAGTAGGGAAATGGCAAGTGTCGTGTGCTATGAAGAAAAATTAAGTAGGAAAGGGAAGTAAGGAGTAGGCAACAGAATGCAGTTTTAAGTGGAGACATCTGGGCCTTGCTGAGAAGGGAACATTTGAGTAGATCTCTACAGGAGTTGAGGGAAAGGCATACAAGGGGCAGGGCATTTAGGGGCAGGACATTCCAGGCAGTGGGAACAGCAGGTGCAAAGGTCCTGTGGTAGACGTGCCTGGCAGATTCATGAAATAGCAAGGAGGCCAACATGGCTGGAACATTGAGCTAGGAGAGTTAGAGGAGATGAGACATGAAAGATAATGGGAGACAGGTCAGGAAGGCCTCTCAAACTAACCTAAGGACGGTGGCTTGTACTCAATGTGAGAGGAGATGCCACTGGTGGGTTTTGAGCAGAAGAGTGACTCAATCTCAGTGTGGAAAGGAATACTCTGGCAGCCGAGGGAAGAAGAGATAATAGGAGGACCAGGGCGGGGTTGAAGCTGGGAGACATTTGGAGGCCATAGTCGTAAATTGGGTGGAAAATGAGGGTGGCTGGTAGCAGGGAGGTAGCCGAGGAAGTGGTGAGGAGTGCTGGGAGGTAGCTGTGAGGAGTTATACCTGAGTGGCCCTGGAGTACAGAAGATGCTGCCCTGCTGAGGCTGGGAAACCTACTCCAGGACGGTGAGGGCCCCAGTACTACCAAACGCGTTCCTATGGCGGCAGCTGTCCTTCCTCTCCTTTGACAGTAACAGACTCAAGTTCCTCCAGGGAGGGGCGTAAGGCCAGGAAGGGAGGCAGCAGTGGGTGTTTCCTGTTCTCTCCGCAGCTGAATCAACAGTGCCTCTGTGCTTCCCGTTTCATCATTGGTGCTTGTCCTGTGCAGCCCGGAGTTCGGGCCCCATCAGGGGTGATGAGAACCCGGGTGATTTAAGGCAGTTTTGCTGTTCCCCACACAAGACAGTGGGTGTCAGGACACAGGGACCTTCAGCTTTCATGTGACACCAGATGGTGTGCACAAAACTCCACCCCGCGGACGGCCTGGCCACCTTTCAGGATCTGTCTCAGGAGGCTGGGGCGGCTATCCGGCTGCAGGTGTTCAAAGCCTCAGTTACCCTGAGAGGAACAGGTGCCTGGCTGCTCAGTGTAGACCAGTGGCTTGCAAGCACGATCCCAGGAGCAGCAGCAATACCCCGAGGAACTTGTTAGAAATGCAAAATCCGGGCTCCCAACCCAAATCTCCTGGATCAGAAATTGAGAGTGAGAGGGAAGAGAAATCTGTGTTTTAACAAGCCCTTCTGTGGTTCTGATGCACATTCAAGCTAGAGAACTTCTAAAGAGAGGACTCCTGGCTGCTCAGGCTGTTCTCAACAACCAAGTTAACTGAAGCCCCCATGCCTGGACCGTGGCCCGAGGGCGAGATTTGGCCACGGTGGGAGTTGGGATGATTACTCAGTTCCTTCTGAAAATACAGAAGTTCAAGAATAAAATACATTGCCTCCTCATTTAAAACTCAGATGATTTTTATTTAATTAGGTAAGTCCTTAAACCAAAGTAGCTCCACAGTAGAATTACATTATAATGACATGAGGATTATGTTATGTCTCCCATTATAACTGACCACAGCCAGGTGTTACTGGGGAGATAGAAGCTGAAAGGTTCAAACAATTTGCTTAGGGGAAGCTTTGTTTTCTCTCAAATAATGGCCAGGATGCAGGAACAAATTTAAGTTTCCCACCTCACCTTTCTGCAGCCCTTCTTGCAGATAAAAACAAGGTCACATTGATGAGCGCAGATAAAGACAAGGTCTCCTTGATGAATGCAGATAAAAACAAGGTCACTTGTTGATGACGCTTCCCATTTGCAAAGCCTCTTGCACATCCAGTTCTGTGACCAGATGGGACGTGGCCAGGCACACTCACTCCACAGGGCCACATGGGTGTCATAGGGCACAGGAAATAGTGTGAAAATGTAGTATGAGATTTCTTTTGAATTTTTAGCTTTTTTTTAAAAGCCTACTTCCACCCAGACCCCCTTCTGAATAAAAATCCACAATAATTCAGCCCTTTTTCTCATCTTTCTCACTTTTTAAACCACTTAAAGTATGCCTCCGGAGGAAAATCAAAAGCTTCAAAAAAATCAAAAGCTTCTCACTGCCTTCTGCCTGCCACCCCTCCCATCTTCTCTGGGGCATTCCTAGTGTCTGGGGGGACGGCTGCTGCTTCTGATCACTCGGGTGACCCACAGGGTGCTTGTCACTCACTGCCAGCCAGTCTTCGGGTAACACCCTTGGCCTGGGAACTGTCTGAGCCACAGTGAGGGGACTTCCTTCTGTCAGGATTCTAAAAGCCCTCTGGAATGTGCCTGCACCTAGCAGTAGCAGGGGAGTGTGTGACTGAAAAGAAACTCATTCAGCAGGTGCAATGACTGTGGCCGCTGGGCTTGCCCTGGATCCTCCATGCCAGGTGTGAAGCTAAGGCAGGTGACATCCTTGGTCCCAGAGCTGCAGCACTGAAACACCTTATGTTGGATTTAAATAGAGAAAGATGACTATACTTGATAAACCATGGACTTAGAAATCAGGAGCAGAGACCTAATGCAAATACTTCTCCAGCTGTATGGAGACACGAATCCCTTCCTTATTGCTGCGGCTTGGCTAACAGTCCCAGGTGTGGGCCTGGCTGCAGAGAAACCAGATTTCAATCAGGGTGGTCTGACTCCAGCCAATCAAAATTCTCTCCCTGAAACAAGTTTCTATAGAGTGAAATTTTTATTAAATACCTTTGACACGTTGGACAGTCTCATGCACAGCACACTCAATTTGAAAAATCTCCTGTATTAAAACGATTCTTTAATAATGTTACCTTTATAACAGTAAGAAAGTTCTGTCCTGTAGGAATCTATGTGAGGAGGTTGTAAAGTGATTTGAAAAGTTTGGAACCACAGGAAATAGTTAGAGAAAGGATAAAAATATTCTTTCTAATCTAGTAATTACATTCCTTCGGTGTCCTGGGTGGCTTGCTTTTTCAGGTGCCTCGAGTGTTTATTGGCAAGGAGTGTATAGGTGGATGCAGTGATCTAATAACTATGCAAGAGAGTGGGGAACTGATGACGCGCCTGCGGCAGATTGGAGCTCTGCAGTAACCACAGGTGAGTGGCAGGTGAGACGCCAGGCCCGGAACACTGGGAGACAGTGGACTCTACTGCCATGGTTCATTATATATTTTTTTATTTTTATTTATTTATTTTTTGAGATAGAGTCTCACTCTGTTGCCCAGGCTAGAATGCCATGGCGTCAGCCTAGCTCACAGCAACCTCAAACTCTTGGGCTCAAGTGATCCTCCTGCCTCAGCCTGCAGTGTAGCTGGGACTACAGGCATGTTCCCGACACTATGCCTGGCTAATTTTTTCTATTTTTTTTTTTTTTTTTTGGAGCAAGAGTCTCAACTTTGTTGCCCAGGCTAGAGTGAGTGCCGTGGCGTTAGCCTAGTCACAGCAACCTCAAACTCTGGGCTGAGCGATCCTTCTGCCTCAGCTCCCCGAGTAGCTGGGACTCAAACACGGCATGTGCACCATGCCCCGGCTAATTTTTTAATATTCATCAGTTGGCCAATTAATTTCTTTCTATTTATAGTAGAGACGGGGTCTTGCTCTTGCTCAGGCTGGTTTTGAACTCCTGACCTTGAGCAATCCGCCCGTCTCAGCCTCCCAAGAGCTAGGATTACAGGCGTGAGCCACCGCGCCCGGCCTCTATATATTTTTAGTTGGCCAATTAATTTCTTTCTATATTTAGTAGAGACAGGGGTCTTGCTCTTGCTCTGGCTGGTTTTGAATTCCTGACCTTGAGCGATCCGCCCACCTCAGCCTCCCAGAGTGCTAGGATTACAGGCGTGAGCCACCGCACCAAGCCTATGGTTCATTCTAGTGTAGCATGGCATTCTGGCTGGGGAAAGAATGATTTGGGGTGATTTGAGGAAGTGTGGCATTAATCACTTGTGAATTTCACCTTTTATAGAGGGATTAATGATGTCAATGGGAGAAATCCTTTGACTCAACCTTCATTTAGTAGATATTTATTTTGCATTGCCTTTGTGCCAGACACTGCTCTAGGCTCCGGGAATATAGTGATACAGAAAAGATAATATGGAACTTGAATTCTAGAGCAATGGACACATGATAAACAAGTGAATCATTCCTAAAACAAAAAGAACAATGTGTTAGAACCTGTGAGGAGGTGGGGAGCAGATTTGGCTAATATGCTAAGGGAAGGCCCTTCCTCGGGAGGGGCTGGTTGAGCTGAGACCTGTTTGACCAGAAGATGACAGCTACGTAAAGATGACGCAAAAGAACTTTTCGGGCACAGGGAATGGCAAGCGCAAAGGCTCTGAGGTGGCAAAAAGTAAGAAATGTTCAAGGGACAGAAAGAAAGACAGAACAGATTGAATGAGAAGGAGGCATCATACGAAACGTGGGCAGGAGCCGGAGCATGGTAGGCAATTGGGATTTATTCTAAATGATATGTGGAATTGAGGTTTTTTGTTTGTTTGTTTGTTTTTTGCTTTACCTGTGTGTGTTCACACAGCAGATCAGCTCAACCTAATAGTATTCCCAAACACCGAAATGAAATTTTCTACCATCAGTAACTTATAGGAGATCTTTGGCTCAGTGGAAAACCACAGGGTGGTGAACTCTTTAGACAGGAATCAGGGTGCTTTCAGACTCTAACTCCTTCCTCCACCAGCATCCCAGCACTGTTGGAGCTCACTGGCTTCCAGACAGGCCAGTTCTACTGACTCATAGGCAGAGAGACTCGAGTGTTTCTTAGTCGAGGGAGAAATTAATGGTGTTTTAATCAAAATGCTCTCTGAGACGTATCTATTGCCCACTAATTAATGACTTATCCCTGGGGCAATGAGTATACATAATTTGTGATGGTTACTCAGAATGACAAAAGAAGGGGAAAAAATCTGAAAAAAATGCAACTGAGTCCCCTGAATTAAAATAGTTTTTTGTTTTTTTTGAGACAGTCTCACTTTGTTGCCCAGGCTAGAGTGAGTGCTGTGGTGTAAGCCTAGCTCACAGCAACCTCAATCTCCTGGGCTCAAGCGATCCTACTGCCTCAGCCTCCCGAGTAGCTGGGACTACAGGCATACACCACCATGCCCAGCTTATTTTATATATATATATATATTTTATATATTTTTTTTTCTATATATATTAGTTGGCCAATTAATTTCTTTCTATTTATAGTAGAGACGGGGTCTCGCTCTTGCTCAGGCTGATTTCGAACTCCTGACCTGGAGCAATCCGCCCGCCTCGGCCTCCCAGAGTGCTAGGATTACAGGCGTGAGCCACCGCGCCCGGCCTGAAATAAAATAGTCAATGTTATAAATCTTCTAATCATAGTTCTACAACCTCGTCACAGCAAGTGAACTCTGTGTCTGTCTGGGTTCGCTTACTGTACTCAAAACCCAATTAGCAGTGGTACCAAATGTTTCCTATTCCGGAACATGTTTAGCAATTTAGGCTTCATGAAGAATGGAAGCAGATGGAAAATACCATTTCCCTAACTGTCTCTATTTTGGTGTGGGCATTACAGTCCCCCATGCCCAGAAAGTCTCTCCGTTTGCTTTGCTGTCAGGATTTTGCTGGCAACCGCACGTCAGGGTCATCTATAACAGAGTGTGTTTAAGTGGCAGGAGCAATTGCTCTGGCAATGAGAGGGAAATGAGGATAACTTGCCTTACAAAAGGATCCAATTCTTTGTTTCTTTCCTGGCAGAGCAGGACCCACGCTGACATCCCCGTCCAGAGCTGAACAGCATCGCAAAGGATGACAACACTTCCTGGTGGATGGAATTTTGGGCACAAACAGCTTTTTTTCCTTCTTTTGGCTCAGTATTTAAAAAGTGAACCAACCTGCCCCTCACCAAGGGGCCAAGAAGGTTGATGGACCATCTTGGTTTTCTTCTGCGCTAGTCCTTTGGGTTCCAGGAGGCTGTGACAAGTTCTGGCCTAAGATTCACTCACTGACCCAAAAGCTGTTCTTTCCCTTTGGCATGTGTTTCGAAATGGTCTCCATGTGCGGGCCTACCTCTACCTCTAAGACAGTGTTTCTCCACCATGTTTATCCAGCCCCATCCCCCACACCCCCAGAATGAATCTATAGTTGGTTTTCTGCTACTGCTGAAATTTTCATTTTGCTGAGTTCAACTTTATGAGTTTGTGTTATGCAATCAGAGAGCACTTCGAATGTGTTTTTCCAAACTACATGCAGCTCTCCCTTGCCCACCCTGAACCAGCGTTCTCAACCTTGCCATCTCACAGATCTCATAGGGAATGTTCAGCAGCTTTGTGAAGGGTCTAAGGCAGGGGTTCTCGAACTTTTTAAACAGGGGGCCACTTCACTGTCCCTCAGACAGTTGGAGAGTGCGGCGCACATTCCACACATGCGCACTGTGGGCCCCGGGACCAGTCGGCTGCTAAGCAGGACAGGCAGCGGCGGGGGGGAAAACACCCAGCGGGCTGGATAAATGTCCTCGGCGGGCCGCATGTGGCCCACAGGCCATAGTTTGGGGACCCTTGGTCTAAGGATTCAATCTGAGAAACTATGAAGAGTTAAGCACAGTTGCTCTTCACTTGGTGCCTCGTGGATCAGAGGCCCAAGCACACAGGTTCTGGTCCTGTGGCAACACTCTGTGTGAGACAGTTATCCAGGTAATCCTGAACAACCATGTATTTAGATCACCAGCAAAATGAAAACATAAAATGTAAAGCATTATCATAGAAAACTTGTAGCCCCCTCCCACAAGAGTATATCTGGGAAAGAGCCAAATCTGAGAAACACTGTCCTAAATGAGTCTGCCTTTTACCCCCTACCCTTTGAAAACTTAATCCCTTACCATGAAGTTTTGTTTGTTCTAGAATTGTAAGATCGTTTCATTCTGCAGTCTCTGGTGAAAATGGTTAATTTCTTTTCTAATAAAGAAGTACCTATAGATGACTCAGTGATTTTTGTCCAGTTCTTTTTCATGTTCTCAAGACCTTAAGGAGTGGTATTAATGTGAAATATACCGACTTAAAGCTTTATTCTTGTCTGTCCCTGCCATTGTATAGACACATGCTGCTGTCACTGAGTACGAATGGTTGATATAATTTTTAAATTTCATACTGAAATAAATGTGTCAGCATTAGCCTTCTGATTAATGTTTAGGGTTTAAAAATAGTCTTTTAAATTTCATATTCTATTTTTCCATTTCCCACCTAATACCCTTGTACTTTTGGCTTTTTTCCCTTATGGCCCCTCAGAACTCCAGCTAGGATTGCTATGGATGGTTGTGCAGGTCACGCACTGCACAATATTATGAATGCCACCACCTGATGTTACATGACAGCCCCTTACCCACTCTGAACCACTTGCCTGCACTTTCTTTCACACTATGTCCTTGTTCATTATGCTTCCTCCCCTTGGGGTGCCTTGTTCTTCTATTTTCAAATTCCTCCTTGTTCTTCAATGCCTGATTTATAGACAGTCTTCCCCATACCTCATCTCTCTTCTCACTGCTTTTTGACAAAAATCATTGCTGCCTCTTCTATAATCCAGAAACACTGAGCATGTAGGTACTTTACAACTCTTACCAGGCTATATTGAACTTAATCATCTGTCTTGGGCTCTTGGCAGATTCAGACATACCCAAAGGCAAGACCTAGACTTAACTATCATTGTAACCCAGTTTCTGACATAGAAAATCTATTTTATGGTTTAAAAAGCCAAATTGTCTCCTGTTCCACCTCTCTCAAATCCTAGTCCTGGTCACACATGTATTCATTTCATGGCTATTTAAGCCTATTTAAAAATGATATAAAATGCGTTAGACATATAGAAGAGTGTATAGAATGTATAATTCTATTTAACACCTCTGTATCTACCTCCGAGGTTAAGAAATAAAGCTTGTTTAAAGAGGTGTTTCTAAGGTACTGATAAAGCACCCCTCCCCAAGAGTCCTCCTTCCCTCCCTCCATTCATAGAAGTAACTGCTAGTTCATTTTTGTTGTAATTATTCTGAAACTTCTCTTTATAGTTTTACCCCATAATATCCCTAAGGAAGCATTTCACTGTTAAAAAGCAATAGAAAACACCAAGCTAGGCCGGGCGCGGTGACTCACGCTTGTAATCCTAGCACTCCGGGAGGCCGAGGCGGGAGGATTGCTCCAGGTCAGGAGTTCGAAACCAGCCTGAGCAACAGCGAGACCCCATCTCTACTATAAATAGAATGAAATTAATTGGCCAACTAACATATATATAGAAAAAATTAGCCGGACATGGTGGCGCATGCCTGTAGTCCCAGCTACTCGGGAGGCTGAGGCAGAAGGATTGCTTGAGCCCAGGAGTTTGAGGTTGCTGTGAGCTAGGCTGACACCACGGCACTCAATCTAGCCTGGGCAACAAAGGGAGACTCTGTCTCAAAAAAAAGCAAAAAACACCAAGCTAGCTGTGAAAGGAAAGAGCGACACTGTCCCTACTGTCCCTATTAGACGAATGATCCCAAGCGCAGATAAGCTGAACAAGGACTCTGAGTCATCGGGCCAGCTTCAGCGTCCCTGAGAGTGTTCCAAAGCCTCTTATTGGGAAGCCTCAGCTGGCCCTAAGTGAGTCCTGGGAAATGCAGGGCGCCCCACGATCAGGAAGGCTATTGTATGAACCAAGCACTGGGTGTCCCCCAGAAACACGGTCAGTGGGAGTGGACTGTTCTGCATTTCTGCTGCTCAACTCGGCATGGCCCCACCCCACGCCCAGCTTGCAGGAGCAGCTCAAAGCACACCACACCCTTAACTACCAGGCGTGTGGCACGGAGAACAGAAATGTCACCAGCACGAGGCAAGCTAAGTGCAGATAAGGATCTGCTTCAGGCCCATCTGGACTTTCAGTCCTCAAGGAGGAGAATTACACTGCCCCAATCTGCACTGGCTGCTGCTCGTCAGGGCAGAGCTCTCCACCTGGGTCTCGCTTCACTGTCATTCTGGGGAGCCCCTTGTCTCTCCCCTGTGTTGGATCTCCTGTGTCCTATGACTCCCACATTAGGATACAAGCTAAGCTGCCAGAACAAAGACAAGAAAACATGATGGAAGCCTATTTCTCTCTCTTGTGACGGTCCTGAGGCAGGCAGGTGGCATTTGCTCCAAGAAGGCGTGACTGACCCAGGAGACTTCTGCTCACAGCCCATCAGCCAGAACTTGGCGCCATGGCCCACCTCGCTGCAGAGGAGGCTGGGCAAAGGTGTGCCTGGCTGGGAAACTGAAACTCAGGGAGATCTATCCCAAAAGAAAGGATATGGAAAGAAAATTAGCATATTGGGTCTTTCTCTTTTTCAGTCTTTGTCTTCTGAGCTCCCGTTTTCTCTGTTTTACATTTACAAGCCTTCCTCAAATGTCTAGAGATCTGGCTGCCTGTAAACATTTAAGAATGAGGCACTAAAACACTGGTTGGAAGATTTGTGTGTGTGCATTGGGCTTGTCCACTGGTGGGCTTCACCACAGAGAGAGTCTTTGTTCAAATGTCACCTTCTCAGCAAGGGTTCCCCCATGACCTTATCTAAAACATAGCACCTGCCCCTCCACTCTCACCCAGCACTCCCCATCCCCCTTTCTTGACTTATTTTTCTCTATAGCAGGGGACCCCAACCTATGGTGAGTTGTATAGTTATTTCATTATGTATTGTAATAAATGTAATAATAATAGAAATAAAGTGCACAATAAGTGTAATGTGCTTGAATCATCTTGAAACCATCCCCTGCCCCCTTCCCTGGTCCATGGAAAAATTGTCTTCCATGAAAACGGTTCCTGGTGCCCAGAAGGCTGGGAACCACTGCTCTGTAGCATGTATCATCTAATATATTGCATAATTGGCTTATTTATTTTGCTTACTGTCTGTCTTCCCCATTAGAAGTAAGCCCCTTAAGGTCAGCTGTTTGCATCTATTGTATTTATTGCTGTGTCTGCAGCATCAGAAAGACTGCTTGGCACATAGTAGGCACTTGATAAAATCTGTCAAGTGTGTGAAAAAATCAATTAAAAAAGTAAATGAATGATCAGATGTGGATCTGACTGTGTCTCTGGGAGATCCCCCAACTGTTAGCTCCTGGACGCCTGTTCTTTTGAGCCATTCAGCCTCTCCAGATGCACAGCTGGGGGACTGGGCCTTACTGCCAGGGTTCTGGCTGCCAAGCAGGGCAAAGGGACTTGGCAGCTCCCTAGCCAGTGTGCAGACTCTCATGCCATCTCCCTTTTTTCTGCTGAGTAATTCTGTGTGATATGCAAGGATAGAAAGGATTGTCTTCCAAAGAGCACTGAGAGGTTGGCATGAGGAGTTGGCAGAGGAAAGCCACAAGAATAAGCAAGCAAAAAATTCATAGCCTAAGCCCCACTCTTGCTTTCTGTTCACTTAGGGAAGCAAGTGATTCCATCTCCTGCAAATAGCTCAGTTTATAATAACTGTCTTCTCTCTGCTTCTTCCAGCCTGGCGCCTGGTGCTGGTCTCCTGAAAGCCTCTGGAGACTCGAAGCTGAGCTTTTCCAGAAGTTGCTCCCAACTCAAGGCTGTCTGAAGATGGCCCTGAAGGGGAAAGAACAGCCAGGGGTGACAAATGGGTCTGCAAGGTCCAGACCTCAATATTTATGTCCCCAGTGGGTATTATTAAGTCATTATCTTGACGTTTGGTTGTAGGAGAAAGCCATGCAGTAAGCCATAACTTACTACACCATAATAATTGCTCACTGGTCCTGGGAAATATTTTAAAGAACTGGGCTCTTGAAATATTTTACTTAAAACTCCTTTCTTTTGTTAATAGCAGTCTTTTCATATGAAATACACTGAACATTTGAAGGGGCAGAATTTAATCTCACTCATTAGTGGAAAAGAATTTTGTTCAGCCTGGTCCCTTTAAGCA